GAAGTTACTGGGATGCTTCTTGGGAAAGTGTTCTGGTAGTATTCGTTCCATAACCAGACATCCTGAGCACTCTATCATAGCATCATGTGGTAATTACTTAATGATTAATTTTTGTTCATTTATTGATCAAAATATGTCTTAACTTATATATATATATATATATATATATATATATATATATATATATATAATTTTATCATTAATAATCTTCTTTTAGATGTGAAGGGGGTGGGGTTAACTGTTTTTATTTTCATGTATATATAACAAAAATTTAGCTGAAAGCGAAGGATGAGGTGCCTCCTCATTTTGAATCTAAGATGACCTTTGACTGCTGTTTGCAGAACTTCTCTTATATAATACTTTCCTTTCTGAATCAGGGTTGGACAGTTATGTGCGCTTTTGGGATATTAATTCTAGGCAGCTTCTTTCTGCGGTAAGTTCTTTGTTGCCATTCAAATGATTGTCTTTAGGAGCTTCTGTGACTTATTTCATGCATTACAGATTTTCAACTCTGTACGATGTTTCTAACTATTGCTCCCAGTGGGATCATTTAATTTCTCCATATTCCAATCTGATTTCCCTAAATCCATGCATACATGTTGATGCCTCCCTACGAAAATGCAAAATCTGTAATGTAGTGTGTTTTGGAGGGAAATTAAGCTCAAAGTATAACTGTTGATGTCATTGCTCATAAGATTTGAATTTACTTGCACAACAACTGTTTTTTAGCTACTCAAGCAGTCTTGCGTTAAAAATGCTCTATTACTGAAGTTAAATTATGGTTTCTCCATCTTGCGTAGCCTATTATTTCAAGAATACTATGAAAATGTTGGTCATTCATGTGATTTCTGGGGAAATAGTTGTGTAAATACAAATTGGCCGGGCCCTCTGAAGCTTTAACTTGATTTGGATCGTCTGAAAGGAATGTGCTATATGCTGAAGGGGCTTCTTTTTTTTAGATCAACTGCAACTTGAGCAGTTGTGAAACCAATTTGTGCGTACTTTGTCCCTGTGTGGAGTGTACTATTTTGTATATAGGCAGAGATTTAAAATTGATATTCTTGTTGTGGTCAATCAAAATGCAACATCAGAATAGCCTTGTCTTCCCCTTGAACTGTAGTAGTGTAAATAGTTTATAAGTGGATTCATAAGCTGGTTGGTTAGATTGACTTGTGCCTGAAAAAGTATGATTATCTTATCATGGTGATCAAATGTTGCCTATTGAAAACTATAGTTCAGATTTAGCACCAATTTTGAATTAATTGCTCCTTAAATGTTCAAATGGGCTTCTGAATATCTGTGGTGGTGATGTTAAAAAGACTAGTACGTTTGTTTATTAAGTTGATACTTTTATAGTGCTTGTTCTTTTGCATATTTTGCATTTCTTGCTGCCTTTTATGAAAATAATTATGTAGCAAACTTACACAAGTATTCTTACCAGAATGTTTAGCTTTCAAGAAAGTGTTAATATAGCAGTTGCAATTATGATTGCATCTAGCTACGCAGTTGTTTTTCTGCGCTATACTACACATCATGTCCTAGTAAATTGTGAAATAGAGAAAGAACTTCTGTAGCACCTTTACCAGGTTGATTGTATTGCATTGCGATGATTCTTTTTTCAAGTTTAAACCATCGCCACCTTTGCCACATATCTGAAACATTGTTTTTCATCCGTAATGCTGGTGCAGGTGTTTTTAAAGCAACATTTGACCAATGTGGTATTTGATTCAAATTTTTCCAATGAAGGTTAGTTCATTTCTTCAATGCCACCTTTTGATGCCTCTTAATATGGATCTTTCGAAGTATTTTTTAGGGAAATTTTAATGAACTTGAGGAGAACCACGTAACATGAAAGTGAGATGATTATTTTACATGTATTTTAGTGCTATTGTTATTCTTTTTGCTACCTTGAATTTTTCTATGGGAGGCAAATATACCTTGATTTCAACATCTAAATAAAGAAACTGTTACAAGGTTACGTTCTCTATTTTTCCATATATAATTATTACGTCTTTCTTACCTGTTGTACTTCTATTCTTTGACCTTTAATTCTGCACGTGATATCAATTAATTTTTTAATGGTCATACACTCATTACATGAGATTTTCATTGCAACTTTGACACAGTATCCACTTAAACCAGTTATATATGAGCCATTGCATTTTTTTCTCCCTTCGCTATGAATCCTTGAACCTTCTTGGCGTCTTATAGTTGTCAGAGCCAGTGTTCTCATAAGAGTCATGAACCAGTCTCAGTCCCAGTCCCAGTCCAAATTCCCTGGACCTGTTAGAGGAGAGATCTATTCTAGGTTTATTGCAGAATTGTACATATATACAAATCTAGATACTGAGATAGTGATATTGATTCACATAAGGATACATAAATTATTCCATTTCTTTCGTTGCTATAGCCTCACTAGAAAATCTCCTTTAAATCCTATTTTCAATATATTGGTGAACCGATTAGTAATGAAGTGAAACGATTATTTTATATGTGCAATTATGGTCTGTTTGATAGATAATAAAGAGTAAAAAGGCTTCTAAAGAAAACCTCTTGGCAAAGTCTGTGGTAGATTGGTAGTACAATTTCACTTTTGTGTATCTCATAAATGTCTATCTCTACTACGTGCTTTAGGAAATTCAAGAAAAACACAATTATGTCATGAGATTCACATATTTCTCACAAACTTACATACATATTTATCTGTTACTGTAGTTTTGTTTTTGGTTTTTGGTTTTTGTTTGTTTGTTTATTTTTTTTATTTTTTTTTTATTTTTATAATTATAATTATTTTTATTTTTATTAAAAGCCTTGTGAAAGAACTTAATCATGCAGTCCCTCTCCCTTTTGCTTATCTGATGAAACAGTTTGCTTTTCTCCTGATAATTAGATATCCTTTTTGAGTAAGTAGTAGTTTGTATTTGTTGAAATAAACTAGTATTCATGGAATGATCAATATTTGGACAGAAACGACAATTGCTACAGATCCACACAAAGATGAGATTCATGTTAGCAATGAGGAGCAATTTCAAAATGAAGAAGACGCACTGCCAGTAAAGAGGAAAAAGGCTTCTAAAGGAAAAATTGAGGCCAAGAAGAAAAAATCCAAGAAAGTGAAGAAAGTTAAGGACGAGGTTCATGTTGAAGAGTAATATCATGGTCCCTGGAAAGATATATTCTAAGATTTTCATACTTTTCAGGTGCATCCATTTTTGCTAGATTACAAATTTTAAGATGTATGAGTCTTTGTAGTAGTTATTTTTTTAAAGTTTATTTATATAATTATATATATTTTTTATTAAAGAAAGAACAACTAATGTAATTTGTGTTTTTTAATACACTTTTTTGGTTAAAGAACAACTAATGTAATGAGAGATGATAATACACTTTCACGAGTCAAATTCAGATGCAATTGTGTAATTTGTGTTTTATAACATTACAAGTGTAAAATGGAGTTTTCTAATTAATTAGGATGTCTAAGAGAAAACCACCTAGAAGTATAAGCCAAACTAGACAAATAAATTTAAATAAGAAGCTAAAAGTGAAAAGAATAGACATTAAATAAACATTTATTGCACTGATTTACTTGTGAGTTGTTAATACTTAAAAAAAGAAGAAGTATATTCAATGTTTATGGATTGCATATAGCATTATCCTTTTATTATTTTTTTTAATTTTTTTCTTGGGCAAAAAACTGCTCTGTTTATAATAATTGACACACTCTATACGATATGTAGTTTAAGAAAATAGTACGGAGTATGTATGAATTAGATTATCCAATGTTTGCTACTGTGTACTACCATTTGCGAAAGTCTTTCTGATTTTGCTTAGGTGGACGTTTGCTGACCAAAGGTTAATACATAAATACCCCTAGCCCCATGACTTGGAATGACAACACTTTTTTTTTAGACAACGGAGTAATAACCAAAATACACTACTACTCATCTTTAGCGAGACTTGCTAGATTTTGACTTTTGAGTAGTCTTACACGAGGTACAAATACTACAATAATTAAAATCAAAAGTACAAACATATAAACTAAAATTAAGCTTCTTATTTGGATGGCCGGAGAGATTCATTGATATGATGTACCACCTTTCCTCTTCATACTTGCATGAAAATTGGATTTTATGATTGGATAGACATGGGTAGGGTGCAAAATCTTGCTTTGTTTTTGAGTCCTTTCTCTGATTCTCCTTTTTTGAAGGCTGGACAATTTGTCTATGGCTTCGAAAGAGCTTTTCCTCCTCGACTTACTCTTAAACTCTAGTAGAGGTTGAACGGGTTCTTTCTTAGGAATTGGCAGACTGGTATTCTTCTCTTTAAGATCCTGCACTTGATACTCATCCTTGATATAGATAGATTCTTGCGGCAGGTGGACATGGTTAGTTCCAACATCAACAAAGGTATTTTCAATTTCATTCACGAACGATGACTGTTTTTTATTGGTGTCATCATCCTCAATAACACTGCTTCCCTCGAGCTATGTTCGTGGGGGGTCTCCATCATGATATATTTTTTGGGGTGAAGGTACACACCTTCGACAAAGACGTAGAATGTGGTTGATAGAGCCACAACTCTTTCCCCTTCCTGAACTTATGTAAATCTGGACGGGCGATTCTCAAACAAGAAGATGGCTTTTTCCGGTTGACGAAAGCCACCTTACCCTCACAAGAGGTAAAACTGAACAATTCGAGCCTTTCAAAGTATCCACCTTCATGGGGACTCCACTATCCTTCATATAAGACTCCTGACTGCCATTAAGCACTTCTTTGGTAGCTTCTAGCTTAGCAACAAAAGTCTCCACCTCATTCTTCTCCACCTTGGACCCTTCAAGTCTAGTGCCAGAATCTATATCTCTTTCATTAATTAAGCTTCCTTGATCTTCACCATATTGAAGATGCATATTCTCCTCAACCTTTTCCTCATTACCATCCTGTTTCCTAAACACAACTTCCTCCAGTCTAGTCATTTCCTTCCCAATTTCCTTATTATTAGGTTCAATCTTTTGCTGATTTAAAATCATCATATGCCTTCTCCAATGCTATTCCTCTTCTAAACAATGCGTTTACATTTCTCTTATTAGACTCCAAAATCAAGGAACATGAAGTAATGGCCTCACTAAACTTGTTGAGCTTAATTGCACTAGCTGCAATATTCAAAAGAAGGCTAAATGCTAACCCTTTCAACTCAAGGTTAGCCTCACACATATGAGAATCATCACTAATGGCACATATTATAACACACAAGCATTTGATACCTTTATTATACATCACAAAAGCAGTACTAAATTTTTTCAATTTGAATAGGGCATTTGCTTCATCCTTTAGAGCAGTCATATACGAGATAGTCTCCTCTGGGCTATTGGTTTTTTCAAACATTTCCTCAACATCACAGTCATCCTCCCCCAAATGGTCTAAGTGATGTAGCAAGATAGGTCCTAAACTTGAACTTTTCCCCATCCCTTAAAAAAAACCCAAACAATTTTACGCAAAAAAAAAAAACTACTAAGCTAAAACCAAATTAGTAAACAAGCATCTTCCCAAGAAGCTAGAAAGATGCAGACTCAGAGCAAGAACAATTCTATTGAAAAGGACTTACAAATTAATTGAAACGCCGATGCCGATGAAAAAAAAACCCACAGATCTTTGAAGATACATAATATTGAGACAACAGGGAATCGATGTTTTAAGGGAAGCTCGCCGACGACTAAAGGAGGGGAATTGGCCGCCGGCGAGCTTGTAGGTGTAGGAATGCAGTGGGTTAGGGGAGAGAGGTATTTTGAATTTTTAGTTGACAACCTTTAAAATTATCATAATTTTATTAAATTTGACTAATTTTAGATTCCTTTAATATATTTTTATAATTTTGAAAACAAAAAAAAAAAAAAAATAGAAAACCACAACGATACCAAACGAATTTTATAAACATATTTTTATTTATCTGCTATTAAAGGACGTTTGCTAGATAAATGTTATTACATAAATACCCCTAGCCCCACAATGTAAAATGAAAACCCTACCCTAAGATAATTTTTTTTTATTTATCTTTGTTATAAATTTAAATTTTCTCCTTTTATCTCCTCTCACCCCATCAGGCCCGAAAAGTTAATTATATACACCTGAGTGCACCGTGTATATAACTAACCCAAGGTTAATTTTTGCTCTTTACTTGATGATTAAATTAGAAACAATCATCAAATTGAGAACAACATACTCGTGTGTGAATTGATACTTATGTGAAAATTGTGGAGTAAATATTATGGTACTTCAGTGATATATGCATGATAGTAAATTAGTAATGTAATAATATTGCATGTTATTTGATATATGCATACTAGTAAATTAGTAATGTAATAAAAATTAGTAATATAATAATTAGTACAAGTACACAAATCATAAAAAATTAGTCTACGAGATTGTGTACTTGTATGATTAGTTCACATAATAATAAAATAACACAAATGTCATTGAATGAATGTATGTATTTAAGGGGTTCTGGTGTGACAATATTAGTAATGTCATGGATAATAACGCTATACACACTATGACAAATGGTGAAAATGTATGAAATTGTCACAAGGAAGAGATTTGATAGACACTATGACATGGGACAATATACTTTTGGGGAAAAGTTCGATTTATGGTTTATAGTGCCACAACAGATTATGGTTCAAGCTGTTTGTGACATTGTCTACATGATAACTTGAGAGACTTCCCTTAGGAAGGTTTATAACATTCTACTATCAAATGGAACACCCATCAGGTGAACCTACTTTATCATGATCTACGCTTGTTTCCAGTTTTTTCTATCTAACCTAAATAATAAATCTTAACTCATCAATCACTGGAATCTCCTTTGTTGTAGCTATCATGTCTCTCAAGTGAGTTTCTACACCCTTTAGTTGTATTGATTGTGAATTGAGTTCTTTATTACAAGTTTTGAGTTTTAAAATTTTAACTTAATACTATTTACAAGAAAAATAAATTGCTAGTTGTGAGCTTAAAATGTAGATTTCACCGTATTATAACATATTTTAAATTTACGTTCATGTTTAAGCAGCCCAAGTACTATACATAGATTCAAATCTTTCTATATGCAGTTTTTGTAATAGCCTAATTAATTAGCTTGTCTTTTTTAATGGCTAACTATTAAGAGTTTTATTTTTTTTTAATTTTTTTTTTCATTTTGAATGTTTGAATTTTTCAATGTATAGCTAGTTATAATGACTATATTTTTTAAGGGAGAGTATCTCTTTTAATTTGTTAAAGATTATCTTGTATTTATACTACTTTTTCCTTCCCTTTCTTAATTCCCATGTATTATCACAAATGGGAAAATCATTTAGGGATGGAGGGATTACTAAAAAACACATTTTCAAAATATCCCAATTCATAAACTTTTGTTGGATCAATGGGATGGCCTTATGGCGTGGCTAGCTAGAATCAACAACATCTTTTGATCTATTATTAATTTTGTTTTTCTATATTTTTTTTACACTTAAATCAAAGCTAAGATTTTTTTTTTATTTATTTTTGCGATATCCAATACTAAATGGACACCAATTTGAAAAATAGTATCAAGTTAGCTAGCACTATTTATTTCAAGAATTATTTTTTATTTCAACACCAAATTAGCAGATCAATCGGGATAAAAATTTATCATAATTCTTCTAAGTTTTCAAAGATGTCTCAATGAGTCAATGAAGTCAATCTAACCGTGCTGAAGTTAGGTATTCATGCATTGTCCATATCAAAGCATAATCCTTTTGTTGGGTTTTGTAGTGGCCCACACTACGCGGAAAGGAAACCCCCAAGACCCGCCCCGATAACTAAAGCAATTAAGACAAGCATAAACATAATTAAGCAATAATTAAAAGAGGAGTGAAAGAAGTTATACCCTCGATGCGTGCTTCGCTCGCAAATCGAGCTCTTACTTCGAAAGCTCGAGCGTCACTAGTGTGAACGCCTCCAACGGCTCGTACACACGAACCCGACCCGAACGGTCCAAATCCCGAAGGTTAGTCGGGACCCGACCAATAAAAACTTGGATTTTTACGAACTTAGAGGTTTTCTCACCTAATGGGAGATGCCTCATTTAGTTCTACTCAAGTGGTTTTTCCCAAACCCAAAACTTGGGTATTTATAGGGAAAGGAGACTTGATTCTCCCTTCTCCCATCAATGTGGGAGAATTGCATTTTCCTACTAATTTATTTTAATCAAAACAAATTAATAAACCATGCAATCAATGAGTTACAAGTGGCAAATGGAGGGAGAGTGTTTAGGTGAGGACCATTCCAAGAGGGGGGGACCATAGCCTTGGTGCCCAAGGCAATGGCCACCACCCTTGGTCCCCACACGCACAAAACCGTATCCCACATGCTGCTGGGACAGCTGGCTGCCAAGGCAGCCTTGCTCGCGCCTGGTGCCTAGGCTGTGCTAGCAAGCCAGCACACATAGTGCAGCCAGCCAGCGAGCATCCCATCCACTGCCAGCATGCGTGCTGCTATCGAGCCACGCATGCTGGGCGCTGCATTGCTACGCACACACATACCAGCGCACTGCTTGCTTGGTCTTGTAAAAGCGATGCACGAGCACACGCACATGCAGCGATGGTGCTGTGCTAGCAACGCATACGCACGCACACGCACATGCTGCGATGGTGCTGTGCAGTGCTACGCCTTGTCTACTGCAGCGCCCAACACATCCACACGCACATGCGATGGTGCGATGGTGCTGGGCAGTGCTAGGCCTTTCCTACTGCCAGCGCCCAGCACATCCACACTCACATGCGATGGTGCGATTGTGCTGGGCAGTGCTAGGCCTTGCCTACTGCCAGCGCCCAGCACATGCACACGCACATGCGATGGTGCGATGGTGCTGGGCAGTGCTAGGCCTTGCCTAGCTCGAATGTCCTAGCACGCCTAGCATGCTAGGCTTGCGTTGGACCTCGCCTAGCCTAATACTCACACGGCTAGGCCAATGCGAGGCTACGGCTAGGTTCGTACTTGTAACTCGATTGATTTTGCGTCTCGTCAAATTCTAAATTCGACTTGACTTGCGACGCTCGATCTCGACGCTCTAAGCTCGATATCCGACGTCTTTGTTTGTAAAACTCCGACGACTCATTATATCCTTTGGATTGATTCGTCGTCTCGAATCGGTTATTCGATTGGGTTCAACCCGAAGGGTTTAGTCAAGATTAAGCTGTAATATTAATTGAACATTAATATTACTGATCGAAAGTGGCCTCCACCTAGACATTCCGATCACTTGACCTTACTGAAGAATTAGCTTTCCGATAATTCTGAACCCTCTATCGGAATAATACACTTGTTGGAAGGACACCATTCCTTTCAATCTCCCACTTGTCCTTCCGGACAAGTGTGCATATAGTGTATAGCCCATTTCCTATGTCGCTGAATGTCTCTTCGTGAACTATAAGGTAAGATTCATCATCATCCTTATTACGTTCAGAAGTGTTTCTCGATCTCTGAGTTCGACTGTCAATAAGCAGATGATTTCTAAAATCCATCTGAGCACGACCATGCATTTTCACAGTCTTGCTCTTCGAGTGGCCTTGTAAACAACAAAGACATGTTCCCTATTGTTAATAGGGGGACATTCCCAGTCTTGCATTGTAAGTTTCTCTTACTAATAGGACCTAATCTCCCGAGTATTCTCGTTGTGATCCCCAGTTACGGCAGACGTTAGGCAACATCAAAGAGACTAGTTCTCAAATAAGAAAACTACACAATACTCATGGTCGAGGAAACGAGTTCCGATAGCTATAATGAGAAATGTACTTATGACAATTTTGAATCTCTTAAAGTACTCTCATAGGTCGATCCAGTGTAGTTCCAAACTGGCACCTGTGCAAATGATTTATGACCATCATGTCCTTCCAGCACAAGAAACGGTGCTGTAAATCATTCTACACACTAATCTCTGGTGGTCATCAATCGTCCATCAGTTAGATGACCTCGATTAGGGATAATTTTCGATTTAAATATTCAATGTTCACTTAAAGGTGTTTCTTTATCCAAGACATGGTCTTGATACCCTGTTTTGAATATTTCCATAAATCGAATGGACTCATTATTTAATTCTAAACCACAATTAAATAGTTCGTGGAATTTTATTAGTAAAATTTTATTCCACTATGAAACTTCCAAACGTTTCATCTTATGACAAATGGCTTTCTTCAAATGTTTCAAGAGTAATACTCTTCATAAAACATTTATAGAAATCACACCCATATCTAATATGCTTGATTTCTTTCATGCAATTGCGAATGTTGTCGTTCACTTATTGCAAAGGTTTAGCCACTATTACTTTGCAAATCTTAGCATCTTCATTATCGAATAATTTCATAATAAGACAACAAGATTTTGAGAGTGTTATGGATTATATGTGATTTAGGGTTTATTGTCCAAGTGATGGCTCCCACTCATTTTCATGA